TATATATATATATATACATAACGAATTTAATTTGTTATTGTTATTATATATGGATTAATATGTCATAGTAATATATTTTATTTGAAATATATATTTATATTGATGATATCAATATATATTTTTGTTTTTTTTTTGCAACAACATTTTCATTAACTAAATATTAAAATAAATATTATAAATAAAACAAAATACCCAAGTAAGAAAATGACGTGTCTCACTCGTCAAATGTAACCAAAGGGTTTAAACGAAGACGAAGGGTTTAAAAAACGAATTTAATTTGTTATTGTAATTATATATGGATTAATATGTCAAAGTAATATATTTTATTTGAAATATATATTTATATTGATGATATCAATATATATTTTTGGTTTTTTTTTTGCAACAACATTTTCATTACTAAATATTATAAATAAAACAATATACCCAAGTAAGGAGATGACATGTCTCACTCGTCAAATGTAACCAAAGGGTTAATAAAATACCAAAGTCATCAAATTAATAAACATTGCGAATATACATTGGATAGATATGGATTTCTAATCTTTTATTACTATTTAACAACATGTGGTGCATAAAAGTCATGTTTTGGTCGTTTAAAATAATACAATGGAAAAAAATATGACTTACAATCCAATTTACAGACCTTTCCAAATCGATTGATATAATTGTAAGATTTTGGAACCATTTTTGAATCAATCAAGATATATTTCAAGAACAAAAGATCCTTTGAGATCACTGAGTTTGAATTAGTAACATGTATGTATAAAAAAAAAAAAAGAAAACAAATGAGTAAAATGAAAAACTCACGTAAGTAAATAAATCATCGAGTTATAAATCCTTTTTTAAGTTGACTGATATAATTGCTGTGTAAGATCTTTGAACCATGATAAAATATATATCTTCGATGATGAATGAAATAAAAATGTAGATTTTGTCTATTAAGGAATAAATAGATCCTTGGTAATCCTTTAAACGTTATAAGATAATCCTCTTGACGTTATCCTTTGGGTTCAATAGTGTATTTTAAAGTTACTTTGAAAATTTGATGTTCAAAGACACGCTCAGTCTCAATGGAGTAATTTCATTTTTCTTTTTTTATTTTTTTCTTTTTTTTTATTTTTTTTTCCATTTAGATACGAGTTATGTTTTTCACAAAAGAGAACGAGGATGAAAAAACGAGGAAGAAGAATGAGAGAATTACTTGTTGGCTCGCGACAAAAAGTTCACAAAAGTATATTACGCTTACTGGAACAGTACTCGAAAACTTCCGTTGAACTAATTTCTACGAGTTCTCTGCTCTCATGTGATCGTGCTTATGAATTCCCCTTTTATTGTTAACGTTTTGTACCATGCAACGTACCAACGTACCAACCTACGGCATATTACTCGAGAATGAGACATTCTGTGAATATGTTACCGGATAGAAATAGGATTATATTCTAATCATGTCGAGGAATTAGAAATATAAATATAAATATATATATACGTTATTTTAACGCATTTGTATTTTAATTATATTCCAAGGATCAAACTTTAATTTTTATTTCATTTTTTTTTTTTTTTTTAATAATTTTCGATTAAAAATATTTGTATCGTGCGATGCAACGATTATTTGTGCATCGTTTAACACTTTGCGGTATAGAATTTTAGATGATAAAATAACCCTATGTTACACGTTTTAAATGAAATCTAATTGTAATATATATTTTTTATTAATAAAGGTATAAATATAATGTAAAAACATTAATAACCAAATTAATAACCAGTTCCTTAATGTAAAAACATTAATAACCAAATTAATAACCAATTCCTTAATGTAAAAACANTTCCTTAATGTAAAAACATTAATAACCAAATTAATAACCAATTCCTTAATGTAAAAACATTAGGTAATAACCAAATTAATAATCCAAAACAAATTAATAACCAATTCTTTAGGATAAATAAAACTTTTGAAATAAAACTTATGAGTATGTGTAGCTATTGCAATATAATATTTCGAGATGGGACTAAAACCATCCCTTACAGCGTGCCTTACAGTGTATCAAAAAGGTAGGACACTTTTAATCCCACCTTGCTCCCAAAGAGTTAAATAATTTGTCAAAAATTATTGAAATATTTGTAATATTTTTTCTTCTGTAATTAACAATTTAGTTCGATGTATTTAATTAATTATTTTATCTTATTTTATCTTCTAAATGGATTTTTCTCTCTCTTTCTTTTTTTGTTTTCTTTTTTTTCTCTTTGTCCCTTTTCTCTATCTCTTATTTAAGGTATATATCTATCTGGTACAACGAGAGATCGACGATTAAACGTTTCACGAGAGCTTTCGGCTAGATCTTTCGCAAGAGCTTTCGTAGTTCCAGTTAATGGACCACCCATTTAACGTTGATGCGGGTATATATATGTATGTGTATGTGTGTCTTTTTGAAATTCTGTAAATGGAAGTACGATCGATTTTTTCTTATTTGTACTCGGTTTATTTCTAACGTCTACTTATTTTTCATCCTACACAAATTAATTTGTTATTTATCATCTATCGACATTCCATCGTACCAACTTTATTTATCAAACAGAAAGATGTCTCGAAATATTACTTATAGTATCCAATATTTTAAACTTTAAAAAAGAAGAAGAGAAAAAAAAAATTACAGAAATTTAAATTAAATGTTAAAAGTTTCATCTCATATATATTTATCTAAGTTCGTTCAGATAAATTAACAAGAAGTATCAAAGCACGGAGAAATTTGTTTTTAATTTATCTTCTTTTGAAGATTCTTTTCTGAAAGAACATCGACAAACTTACTTTCAAAAGAAATAAGAAAAAAGAGACCAAATTTAGAATAAATTTTTGTCTCATCATAGAAATATTAAAAAAAAAAAATAATTTTAAAACAAAGATTTATCATTAATTATATAAATTAAGTGTTCTCACACTGAAAGGGTAGTTGCATCCTTCGTTGATAAGAAGATACGACAGGGCACGTGGTGTACAAGGAATAATAATATTAATAATAATAATAATAATAATAATAATAATAATAATAATAGGAGTTTTCGGAGTTTGCGAAATCAATCGTGATTAATATGCAAAACCGCGAAATTCGGAGAATGCACCACGTTCTCGATATGGATTTTCGTCTGCACCAGAAACCGGCGAGGACGACTGCCTGGCCTCTCTCAACGTCGCGCGTTCTCGCGAAACTCTCGAGGAAAACGAAAGAGGAGGAGGAGGAGGAGAAGAGGAGGAGGAGAAGAGGAGGAGGAACAAGGGAG